CTGCTGCAAACAAGGTTGGGGACCACTGCCCTATAGTGGGGGGCCTATACACACTTTGTTCTACAGAGGGCTTCTGGAGGAAGTTGGGGAGGGCACCTGGGAGTGGCCCCAAGACCTCTTGCCTAGCACCCGCCCCCAGCCATTTATGAGGTGGCAGTGGTTGTGGGGCACTTGAAACAGCACAGGTTTTGGGTCGGTGTCACTGAGCAGCTATGTTTTTGAGCACCTATAAAATGGGAATGTGGTTGCTGTCTTGTGACATGTGGTGAGCACTGAGCCAGGGGCTGGCGGAAGTGCTTGGTGAACTCTTGAGACATCTATAGTAGCAGGAAACATGAAATAGCTCAGCCTTTGTTGTGCTTCCTGTGTGACAGGCACTGTTCTGAGCGCTTAACTTATGTAACTCATTGAGTCCTCGTGACTTTCCTGTGAGGTGGGTACCAGTGTCACTTCCATCTTATGGGCAGGTAAGCAGAGGCACAGAGCTTAAGTACTGTGTGTAAGTTTACACAACTAGTCACGGCACAGCTGAGGGTCAACCTGACAGAAGCCAGGCTGGAGACCTCGCCCTCCACCTTCTTGCTGTCCCCGGCATGGTTCCCCTTCATCCTCACTCTTGCTGCCTGTTTCTGGATGTCTCCAGATGCTCCATAGTCCATTCTAAGACTCGTTTTTCCACATGTCCATGCTTAGTTTAAACCCATTTTTTCAGCCCATCTCATTACAGGCTGAACTTGGAATAAAACAGTTCTGGGTCCATATCCCAACCCATTGTTTACTCTGTAACTTGGACTCTGTGACTTGGACAAGTTACAACATCTTCCCGATTCTCAGTTTTCTGGTGGGTGGAATGTGGGTGATCCTTCTTTCGAACTCTACTCATCAACACCGCGTGGCTGTCATTAGCTGGCGCTTTCCTGGGGCTGCGGAGGACAGCTTGGCTGCTCGCAGTCAGATAGCAGCAGCAGCCCAGGGGCTCCTTGTGGCTTCTGTGGCTGGGATTTTTACTTTGGGGAGGAGGGCAATGGCACTGCACCTGCTGTCTTCCCCGGTGCCAGTGAGGGGGCTGTAACAAGCCTGTGGTTTGTTGTGTTCTGTGCAGGGGGCGGGCACTGATGAAGCCTGCCTGATTGAGATCCTCGCCTCCCGCAGCAATGAGCACATCCGGGAACTGAGCAGAGCCTACAAAACAGGTTAGGCTGCCCCAGGTCCTCTGCCCGCTGCAGATCCCTGTGTGTTCAGGGCCTTGGCTATACCCTCTCCCAGGGCATCTGTTTCTTCCTGGTATGCTTCTCACCTCATTCCAAGACCCAACCCTGCCTGCTGCTTGCCCACGGGACAGGTGACTAAGGGAGGGCCTTGTGGGTTTGGTTTGGGCCAAGCTCGAGGAGAGGCCAGGTCAATCTGGAGTTCACAGCCCATCCTAGATTTCCAGTCGTGTGTCCCTGGAGAGTGTTGGGGGCCACCTGTCTCCTCAAGCCCAGGACTCCCAGGCCCTTCTCTTCTCATTGCCCACTGTTGACTGTGTCTTCAGTGGGCAGCTTTGTCCAGGGGGATGCAAGGGAGGCCTTCCCTGTGTCTTCCAGAATTCAAAAAGACCTTGGAGGAGGCCATTCGAAGCGACACGTCAGGGCACTTCCAGCGGCTCCTCATCTCTCTCTCTCAGGTACCTTGCCCAGGACAGAGCTCAGAACCAGAGCTCAGAGTGGAGGGGGGCATCCTGAGTGGGGAGGGAGGGGTGCGACTCCAGGGAGCGGACTTTTACCACACAGCCTGTTTCCATTTAGGGAAACCGGGATGAAAGCGCAAATGTGGACGTGTCGCTCGTCCAGAGAGATGTTCAGGTGAGTGTGAGGCAGATCGGCACCCTACCTGGGCTTCCTAAGGTGGTGGGGTGGCCCACTTTCTTCATGAGGGGGGAGCTCTGGGATGGAAAGAGGACCTGTAAGGAGTTGGTTCCAGACGCTGTGACTTTCAGAAGGGCACTGTTACTTGTCAACTGTGTGGCCAGACCTGAGCATGTCATCCAGCCTCTGTGGGCTTCAGTTTCCATCCCTCTAAGAGGGAGCACACGCAGTAACTCCCACAGCACTTGGTAGATCCCAGAAGGAACTTACAAATGTCAAACTTCATGTGACCTTGTACTTTGTTTATCTGGTTGCACATGCCATTACATTTGCAAATGGGCTGAACTCACACTTCCTTGTGAATCATTTGAAGGTTTGAGCCTAGAAACCAGCTTTCAAGTTCATTATACAGCCTTAGAATTCTGCTCTGTCCCCAGCCTGATGTGACTGCAGACAAAAGGGGAAAAGTCATCATTTCCTCTCTTTTTCCAGGCATCAGAGTGTCCCTCTAGAGGACTTTGGGTTTCCCACTCATGAATTCAGACCTTTAGAGTTTTGGAGAGAGCCAATGGCTTTCTGGTGGCATTAAGCTGGCCATACCTCTCTGCCTCCTCATTGCTCCTGCTGCTCACCCCAAGCCCCAGCGGGGCGTCCCAGGAACTGCCCTGGGTCTCCTTATCTCTCCCATCTCTCAGGTGAAGAGGACCTCTATGGAAAGCCCTCTTGTTAGGGTTGGAAGAGAGCCACTCCTATGATCTGGTTCATTTTGCTTTCCAGATAGGGAAGCAGGCTCAGAGAGGTTGAGCATTGTACCCAGGGATATCCGGAGGCAGAGCCTGGGCAAGGGCCCAGAGTCCTGGTTCAGATGTCCGCAGGGAGCACACAGACGCCCTGGTCCCACATGCCCTCCTGCAGGGTCTGCCTTCATGTCTCCCTGGTTTGAGACATCCATTCCCATTTCTAGATTTGGCTGAACAGTTTCCAAGCTCCCAGACTGTGGCTGTGGCCTCAGTGGGAATATTCCTATTCCTGTTTTCCTGTTTCCTATATTGGCCGTTCTCTAGCTGTTGCTGAAGTTGCCTCAGTTTCAAGGTCTCATACCTACTGCTCTGCCTTCATAGTTCTGGACCTGCTCCTGCCTCACCTTGACCTGTGTGATTTCCTAGCCCGTGATGGCCACCCTCTTCCTCTGGGTATTGGTGCCTTTAGATCTAACTGGAAGGCACTTTTAAGTCATCTGTTGCAGGGGTTGCAAATTAGCAAATATTTTAGGTTCACACTTTCAAAGGCCTTAACAAGTAAATGCAAATTCTGCCCGTTTGCAAACATGGTACATGCAACCAGACACAGGGGAAGTACCCATCTTGAAACCCCGCATCTGAAACTGATCTCTATCAATTGTAATGATATTGTCTCGCATGCTCACCCTTATAGATAGGGAAGCTGCTTTTAAAGATTGGGGAACTTTACATAGAAATGAGGATTTCTGGCTATTTATGTGAAACGGATCTGGCGCCCATGAGCTTGAATTTCTCTGTCATTGTCTCGGCTGGCTCTGGGAAGTAACCACCCCTCTGTGTGGTTAGCCTTGGTCCTCAGCACTCTCTGGCCCTACAGCTAGCCAGTTTTCCTCAGGTTACCCAGCTGGCCCCTTTGGGCTTTCATGTTTGTGACCCCGGAATCGACTCCAACCTTCACGAGGAAACAGGGCTGAGAGGGCCAGAGTATCTCGTGGCAAGTTGGCTATAGAGCTAGGACTCAGACCCACGCCTCTTGTTCCATTTTTTCCCTTTGTACTGTTGCTCCCTTGGTCGGGTAAAACTGTTCCTTTCCCATTCTGGGCTCTAGTTGGCCTTGGTTTTCCTGGTTCTGAGTTCTTGCGAGCATCAGAATCCTTTGTGTTGCTCAGTAAGGGGATGTATGGATGACCAGCCGGGGCACTGCTCCTTTATCCTTGCCCTTGGGGCCCGCAGGGCCTGGCACCTCTACCCAGCTCTCAGAAATGACCTGAGCCTGGTGTCTGGGATGAGGTCTGCATTGCGTGCCCATCTTCCCCACTGTCTGTCCAGGAGTTGTACGCAGCTGGGGAGAACCGCCTGGGAACAGATGAGTCCAAGTTCAATGCAATCCTGTGTGCCCGGAGCCGGGCCCACCTGGTGGCAGGTAAGGCAGTCCCAGGCCTCCCTGGGGCCGGGTAATGAGGGCAGACAGGTATGGTGGGGAAACAGCTTGCAGGAACGGTTCGCAGTTCCTTTCTGCATGGGGCTTTCATTTGCTTGTAGTAAAAGGTAAAGGGGGTCAAATAATATGGTGATGAAAGATGATTTGACTTTGGGCGGTAGGCAGACAATACGTATGAAGGTCATGTATTATAGAAATGCACACTTGAAACCTAGATAATCTTATTAACCAATGTCACCCCAATAAATTTCATAAAAATAAACAAAGATATTATCAGTCTAGCATGTGCACTCCCCAAGAGGGCCCGCACTATGGAACCATTGGCAAAGAATATCTTTAAAGGAGTTTTAGTAGCTGAATTTGTAGGTATTTTGGGAGCATGTATCTTGTTTAATGAAACTGAGCGTAAGCGAAGATTTCAGGCAAACAATGGGTAAGAAATTTCCCTTCATCTTGGAAGTTCATTACCAGTCTATTTGGACCTTCTATTTGGGTCTGTGTGACTGGCTAGGCGGTCTCAACAGGAAAAGGGGTTTATAAGATGTCTTGGGATTGTGAGTCAATGACCCTATCTTTAGAAAAATTTTAAAAAATTTCTCCCTGGAGGATATATTTTTATTGATTTTAAAGATAAGGGAACGAGAGAGAAATATTGATGTGACAGAGAAACATTGACTGGTTGCCTTCTGTAGGCACCCCTGCCAAGGACTGAACCCTCAACCTAGATATGTGCCCTTCTGGTGCACAGGACAGTGCTCCAACCAACTGAGCCACGTGGCCAGGGCAGTGACATTATCTTAAGAGCCGAAAGAAAAGGACAGAGCTACACATTTCGTGCATACTTAACAGGCTACATTCTTCTGTTGTCTTAAGCAAGAGCATACCTTCTGAAACTTGCTTTACAGGCAGGCCTACAGGCCCTAGGACAACACTACTTTCCAGTGCAGCTATGACTCTGAGGGGGACTAATTTAGACCCAGCTGGCAGGGCAGATGCCATGATCACGAAGGTGGTTTCCCAGGGCGAGGCTTAGCCATTTCACTCCAGATGTGCTGGCCCCTGCGATTTTCTCCAGTGTAGGAAACTCAACTGCATAGTTTGTGATAGTGGGGATTGCGTTCGTGCTCTCCGCTATTTAAAATGAAAAACATATAATGTTCTGGAATGTATGAGATCAGAGAGCAAGATCAGGAAAAATGTTTGAATAGTAAAAGTTAGGAATTTGGCCACCAATCAAGGTTTGCCCTATTTCATGGTATCGGGCAAGATTAAAATGCCAAAGTGGACATGGGTGGGTTTTGGAATATCTAAGACAAAATGTAAATTTTAATTAAGCCAGAGGTTTTACTCTTTGGTTAAGTGTGAAGAAATTGGTAGAAGGTATGCTTATTAAGTTACAAAGTTTTGTTTTTATGACTTAAAGTGGTACTCCTTAAAAAAACCCACACACATAACCTGTAATTCTGAATATAAACTTTTCAAAATAGATAAAATAATAACATCTCTTAAAAATATTAAATTTTTCACACATTTAAAACCCCACTATCTAAAAATGTTATAGAAATATTGCTGTTAATCCACAGACATACCACCCGGAACGCAGCTGATCTCATCTGATCTCGGAAGCTAAGCAGGGTCGGGCCTGGTTAGTACGTGGGTGGGAGAAATATTGCTTTTATTCATTTCCTGAAACAGCACTCCCCAAACTCTTTGCATCTTTGACATCAGTGTTTCTGGCACTACTAGAGGGACTATTTTTAAAATTATTATTGTGTTTAATCCTTACCTGAGGACATACTTCTTGATTTTTTTAGAGAGGGGGCAGGTGGGAGACCTTTTTAGAAAGAAACATCAGTGTGAGAGACAAACATCGGTTGGTTGCCTTGTACGTGTCCTGACTAGGGACCAAGCCCACAACTTAAGTATGTGCCTTGACTGAGAATCAAACCTGTGACCTCCATGTCTGGTCAGGGGCTAGAGCCACTTTTTAAAAACAACTTTACTCCTGGCTGACATAGCTCAGTGGATTGAGCGCGGTTTGATTCCCAGTCAGGGCACATGCCTGGGTTGCAGGCCAGTTCCCAGCAGGGGGTGCATGAGAGGCAACCATACATTGATGTTTCTCTCCCTCTCTCCTTCCCTTCCCCTCTAAAGATAAATAAATAATAAAAATATTTTTAAAAAAAATAAAAAGAAATAAAAACAACTTTACTAAGGAAAAAAATTTTTCATGAAACTCCCGAAAAAATCCCCCCCAAAGATATCAGCACATTTCCTACATTTCTGCAAGCATCAGTCCTGGAGGAAAGCAAAGGAAGGGATGAGGGAAATGTCGACCTCCTGTTGGCTGGTTTCCGTCTGCTCAAATGTGGAACATTAGACTTTGAGAGAGCCATCAAGAGCACCTGATCCAGTGTTCTCCAAAGTGTGGCGTGAAAAAGCTTAACAATAAGTACCAACGGTGTTTATTCATTCACGGGTATATAAATTGAGCTCTGGCTACGTGCCAGTTGCAGAGATGGGGGAGGAAGCACTGCACAAGCTCTGTTCTCATGGCTTCACACCCTTGTTCGGGGGCTCAGGCAGTAAAATGAAATCAAGTAAAATCTGCACCAGATGGCAAGTCATGTACATCAAAATAACAAGGTTGGCAGCAGAAATTGGGCGTGATGTGGATTTCGGGGTGCTTGGGCAGTTCTCACTGAGGCAGTGGCATGTGAGTTAACAACGTGAAGGTGTTGTGGGGGCAGGGGCCTCTGAGCATGGCCGAGAAACGGTGGAAGGGGGCTGGTGAGGCCGGAGCAGGCAGAGCGAGTGAGAGCGGGCAGGTCAGAGATGGCCGGAGACCCTGCCGACAAAAACCGCACAGGCTTCGGTGCCTGTCCGAGTGAACAGGAAGCCTTTGAGGACTCTGAGTGGAAGAGGATGTGACTTAGGTTTTGCGAGTTCACTGGCTGTTGTGTTGAGAAGAGTGAAGGGGCCGATGGCAGAGTCCAGGACACCAGAGGAGACACACTGGTGTCTTGAACCAGGTGGCAGGGGGCTGGTGGTGAGAAGGGGTCAGCTTCTGGCCTTGCTTGCCAATGGCTTGGACGTGGAGTGTGTGCAAGAAAGCAGTCAAGTCTGTGACACAAGCATTTCCTCTGACTGGGTCAGTGGAAGAATGTGCTTGGGAAGCTGTAGATGGACCAGCCTTACAAGGGGAGGAAATGGGAGCCTAAGGCTAGAGCCATCAGGGAGAACGTTGGATTTAGGAGGTCAGGTGAGGTCTGGGCTAGAGATGGAAGTTGGGGTGGGTCAGAGGTGTTTGGGGTTCTGGGACTTCAGGAGGCCTACTCAGGAAGGAGGCTGGAGAGAGACCAGCAGTCTGAGGACCGGACCCTGGCCCCGGCAGGAGACTCAGATGTGAAACACCCAGGGAAAGGGAAGTGCTGGAGGCTAATATGTGAGGGCCCGCGAGGACTGGAATGAGGATCATACTTAGCAAATTGGTGGGTGCCCTGGGTGAAAACGTGGGCCCCTACATGTGCATGCAGTAAGCCTTACAGTGCACGCAAGTAAGTGCTGTTTTTCTCTCACTTTATAGATGAGGAAGCCAGGCACAGGGAGATGGGGAAGTTAGCTTACCTTTATGGGGACCTGGCAGAGTTTGGATTTGAACTCACGGCATCTGGCTCCAGAGCATACTTTTTAACTTGTGCACTGGAGAGTGAGTGAATATATTTTCATCTTAGTCATCATTTATTTTAATGAGTTTAACATGTAAACAGCATTTCAAACCCTGGTGTCACAAAAGTTATTACTTAGGAGAAAAGAATAGCTGATCTAAAGAAAATAGTAAGTAATGAAGACAGGTACAGCAGAAATCACCACACTGGTATGCAGATGACAGAAGTTTAGAGAACAGCGATAGAAACTAAGGTCTGGGCTGGGGATTTACATCCGAGGTCAGAGCTGGACTTAGGACCCAGGGCCCACAGTGCCGCCTGCCTCTCTAAGAACCGAGTCACTTCCCATCAGTGCTCAGCTTGTCCCAGGGTAAGTTGGGGGGCTGGATAGGTGTTAGTTCATGGTCAGACTGAGAAGACAGGATTGATGCATAGAACAATGGAGAAGGAATGGCATGGGCTGCAAGTACAGGGATTTCAGAGAGATGGATCAGTGTTGTGTTTTTGGTGGGGGGTCTGGGATGGGGGCTTAGGTGCAATTTGGGTAACAGCCTGGTGAGGGCAGGCCTTTGCAGAGGGACTGCGTGAGCAGGCACCGGGGTGGGGTACACACAACTTGTGGGGTAAAGAGCCTGGCTGACTTGAGAGCTGGACAGGTGTGGTCAGTGGGGCGGTCCAGATGCTGGGAACAGGGGGAGAGGTGGTTCGGGAAGGGACAGAGCCTCCTCGCCGTGCATGCTGTGTTACTTTCCTCTGGCTGCCATAATAAATACCACAGGCCAAGTGACTCAAACAACATGAATTTATTTTCTCGTGGTGCTGGAAACTAGAAGTCCAAGATCAAGGTGTCAGCACATTTACTTTCCTCAGAGTTCTCTCTCCTTGGCTTTCGGGTGGCCGCCTTTTTGCTGTGTCCTCACATGGCCTTTCCTCTGTGTGCCCAAATTTTTTCTAAGGACGCCAGTCGGATTGGCTAAGGGCTTCATTTTAAATTAATTACCTCTTTAAAAGTAATTAGATATCGCCAAACACAGTTATATTCTGAGGTCCTGGGGGGCTGGGACTTCCACATGTGAATTCAGAGCGGGATCGGGGGTGGGCAGTGACAGAACTCAGCCGTAACAAGTCTCTTCTCTCTTCTGCTAGTTTTCAATGAGTATCAGCGCATGACAGGTCGAGACATTGAGAAGAGCATCTGTCGGGAGATGTCCGGGGACCTGGAGCAGGGCATGCTGGCCGTGGGTAGGTGTCCTGGGCCTGCCTTGCCCACTGCCTGCCTGCCGGGACTGACGTGTTGTACTGGAAGCTTTCAGGGTGCTCACCATGCCCTGGTTGAGGGCAGGCAGTGCAGTCAAAGAACCGCAGGGGCCAAGCTTGCTAAGCCCAGCATGCCTAAGTGGTGGAAAGTCACACTGCTTCCCGGATCACAGCATGGTTGTACCCCCAGCCCTCCTGGTGTCTTGTTTCTATTTCCAGTGTGACTCTGGGAAGGGAGCTCCAGTGTGGGTATTAGTGGGAGAGCAACCGACTGCCCTGCTGGAGGAGATGACTCATATCCTGCCAAGTTTCCTCTAAAAATACATCCCTGCAGGCAGTTGTCAGATGTTTGTGATGGAAACACGTGGTTGCAACAGCAACACACGCCTTGCTAAAGGAAAGCTGGCCCAGCTCCCGGGACGATGGTGTGCTTCTTGCAGGCCTGTGCCCTGCCCTTTAAAGCAAAGGCTCTAGGTCCCGCCCCGTCAGGGTTTGGCTTCTCTTTAAACCCACTTGGGAAATTCTCGGTTTGCCCATCTTCTGCTTTGCCTTTCTTGGAGCTTTTTGCTGGGAGAAACCCGCCCCGTTTCCCCGTGAGTCTCCCATGGTGCAGGTTTCATACCCGAGGACACCAGGGAGACATTCACCCACCTGGCCGTCCTTTCTCCGAGAGGCTCACGGCACCTCCAGTTCAGCCCCTCCCGTGTGCGCAGCGCCGTGGCTCCTCATCCCCAGCCTCTTTCTTCCCTGCACAGCTCCTTTCACCGTGTTGGTTGCCAGGAAAGAGGCCGGGCTGTTGTCCAGGCTCTGCATGTTTCTATTCCAAAGAACTGGAGCCGAGACCACGGATAATTGATTGAGCCTGGAGGAGAAGGGGGAGACGAAGGTGGCCCCCTAAGAGGACACTGTGGACTCTGCCCCCTGGACTTGGGAGTTCCCGGCAGATCGAGTTATGCTCTGTTTCTCTCTTCTAGTGAAATGTCTCAAGAACACCCCTGCCTTCTTTGCTGAAAGGCTCAACAAAGCCATGAGGGTATGCAACATCCACGTGGAGGGTCTGGGGCGGGGGTATCAGCCCCACCTGTGCCTGGGACCACGGCTCAGGGTCAAAGGCCTGGGGAGACACACCTCAGCTGAGAGGACACAGGGCCCGGGGGCAGGAGGGGGCTAGAGCGCAGGGGGAACCTGGGTGGCGAAGAGGCCCATTG